CACCCCAGGACTTCTGCTGCCTGACGCTAGATAGCTTAGTCCACCCCACATACACACTGGCAGAGAGGCCAGCTGTGCCCTCTGCACCTTGCCCAGATACCCCTGGAAGACCCCACTCTGGGGTAGGAAAAGGGCGGGGCGGGGGGGGTCCACAGAAGAGGCCAACGATGTGATGCCCCAGGCGAGGAGCAACGCCACCGGAGCCTCTGGATTCGTCTCTCAAAACACGAGCGTGGAGAATTAGGTTGAAATATTTATTTATTTAAAAACTGGAAACACACAGTCGACATATTATACAAAGGGGAGGAAAAACGCTTGTATTTCATACAATAATTAAAAGTTATCTTGGAGTTGGAGTTGGATGCCTGCCTGCCTGCCTGCTGGGGGTGATCGGCTCCCCCATATCCCCCTGACCTTTGTGGGAACCTTACTGGAGGTTTGCTGGCCCACCCTCCCTCCCTCCCTCCGTGTTCACTCTTGGGGAAGGGTCCAAAGACAAAGAAAATGAGAGAAGTGGACGTCGTCGTAGCAGCAGCAAGGCTGAAAAAATCATCCCCTGGCCAGACAGAACGAGCGGCCTTTGGCGTGGCTTTCTGCATGGAGTTGCCCCCCTCCCCGCCCGGCTTCTCCTGGTTCTCTTTTGTCCCAAAGTGTTCAGCCCATGAGCCTGAAAACCTGAGGTAGTCCCGGGGGTGGGGGGCGCATCCAGGGCAGAGGAGTTGCCCCTGGAAAGACTTGAGCGGTTGGAGGGGGGTCAGCGCCATGTGGAACCCCCTCTCCTCCCCTGTGCTCTGGTGACAGGCTTCTTCTGGTGGCTTTGGGGTGGGGGGGGAGAGAGAGGCAGAAAGGCAGGCCAGCCAGCCAAAAGGGCCTCATTCACGCCGGCGGTGGGCAGACAGCTATTTGGTTTGTGGTTCTGCCAGCCAGGTGGCAGAAAAGGCCGGAGGGTGACAGGCACCAGACTGAGAGGCGGCGGTCGGCCGAACAATGTTTTCTGGGCAGAACCGCCGGTGGGACAGGAAGGCCCCAAAGGAGGGGAGCGGGGGACCCCAGGCCCGCTGTGATCCCGGACGGCAGTGTGTGACCCTTCTGGAGCCAACTGGAGGGAGGAGAGAGAAGGGCTGGCGCTGATGGTGCCTTACTCTGGGCACATGGTGCCAGGGTCCGCCCCCCTCCTGCTCTTTGGAAGGCAAGACCCCCTTGCCCTTCAGCCGGGAGCAGCCCCTGCGACCATCGGACGGAGACACCCTCTTCGTTAAGGACGCTTCTAACACCAGAAAGAAGCACCTTTGGGAGCAACTGAGGTCTGGATTTTGGGTGATTTTGGCGCAGACCTCCCCCGGTGCAGCACACTCCCGATTCCAAAGGGATGGTGGAGGGGGGGGACCAGAACATCAGGCTGGCTGCCCCAGCTGGGAAAGAGGACATGTGCATGTGGAGTCCCGAGCGAGGATCCCCCAGGGCCCGGCTGGAGGAAAGCTACAGGCTGCCCAAAGACACCACTGGCCAGCCAAGGAAGGGGCTCGGGGGGGGGGGGAAATTGGCTCACATTCTCTCCCTTGCCAGCTTCTGAATAATCTAGCTGAGTGGTGCTTTTTCCTCAGGGCTTCCTTGCAAAAGCCTTCTGCCAGGCGCCGATGGCCCTGGGTCCCCCCCCCCCGACCGGAGAGCCAGGAAGCAAATGGGGGGGGCAGAATCCACTGCCAGCCCCCTGGCCTGGCTAGCTCCTCTTCCTTCGGGGGCTCTCCTTTCCTGAAGAGGCTGACCCCATGCATGCAGTGCCCGAAGCAGCTGTCATGGGAGGGAAGCCACGGCTTCAGCAGAGATCTAAAGCATCTTGGAGATGGTCTGAGCCTCCCTCTGCAGCCCCGGGTCGAGACGGCTTCTGCTTCGCTCAGACAGTCCGTGTGGTTTACCCAGGGGAGTGGGCTGAGGGGAAGACCAGCAGCCCCAGCTTGCCCCATTGCCAAAGGCAGCTCCCTCTACCCCTATCCCCGCCAGCTGCTCCTCCTCTCCAATCCTCCGCTGTTTATTGCTGGCTCAAGGCACCGGGGAGCCCCTGCGAGGCACTGAAGAAGCACAGGCCAGAGGGAGGAAAGGGGAGGAAGAGAAGCCAGGCAGCCCTCAAAGGCCGGTTCTGGCCCTTCCAGCAAGGCCCTGTTGGCCAGGACCAAACACTGCCCCCCCCCCACTTCAGAGAGGTTGGCACTGGCGGACTGCACACCCACGCAGACGGCCCTCTCCTTCTCGTGGCATGAAGAGTCAGACCCAGAGAAGTCGACCGGGTTGAGGGGTCGGCCCCTCTCACCGGATGACCCGCAGCCAGCTGTTCCGAGGCGTTGCGGCAGGGAAGGGGTGGGAGGGAGGGAGGGAGGGAAGAGCAGGATGCGAGCTGAGCCGGGGGGCTGCCAAGGTGGCACAGCACTCGCCGGAGCAGGGCTGGGCTCTCGGGGCGACCGTAGGCAACGCTGGGGCAAGAGTGACCGATGCTGCTACAGCAGCTACTGCTGCCGGGGGTGCCTCCCTCCCTCCCCCCCCTCCCCAGCCCCGAGTCTCTGACGCTGCCTTCTCGGCCAGCAGGGAGCCTGGCCCCAGCCAGCCCCGAAGGAACGTCGTCTTTGTAAGCACAGGCTTTGCGGTAGGTTTCGAACCAGTTCACCGTCTGGTCTCTGGAAGGAGCTGCCCCAGCGGAAGGTCTGTCTGCGCTGGCTGCTTCCTTAGGGAGCAAATTCTGCACCTGGGAGGGAGGGAAGGAAGGAAGGGAGACGCTGAGCCCCTCTGCTCTGATCCGAGCCGTGCAAGAAAGGATTCCAGTGTTCAGGATGCGGAGGGAGGCAAAGGGCTTCTCTCTGGGCCAAAAAGCAGCGACAGAAATGTTACACATCCGCGGGCATTCAGGATGGTGGTCCTGAAGGAACAGTCCATGCTTCCTCCAGGAAGGGGCTCTTCCCACCCCCCTCAGCCCCCCCTTCCTCCCTATGGGGTGGCAGAGACAGCAAACGGCAGGTGTGAGGCTGGTCGGGCCTGTGAGCCCAGCCAGCACACTTGCAAAGGGGCCAGTGAGCCCCCACCGCCAGCCGGCTCTGGCCCAGAGGTGGTCCCCCCCCCAAAGCTCCCGGGCCGGCAACGCACCGTTCTCCTCCCAGCCCTCGGCCACGCCGGCCAGTTCGTAGTGCTTCTTGCGCAGGTCGCCGAGCCGCTGACGCTCCTTCTGCAGCTGGCTCTCCAGCTCCAAAACTCGCACCTGGAAGGGGGGGGCAAAGAGGAGGAGGAAGGTTTTTGCAGTGCCAAGCCGCCTCTGAAACGAGGGCCCATCTCTCCCTCTCCATATGCCCTGCCTCCTCCCACCGGCCACCCTCCTTACCTGGGAGTCCATCTCTTGGCGCTTGATCTGCGTCAGTGTCACGGCAGAGAAGTCCATGCTGTCTGTGGGAGAGAAAAGTAAAAAAAATAAAACAAAACACACACACACAAAACTCTGGGGCTGACTCTTGCACGAAGGGGCCCAGGGACGCGATGTTTGCCGCACCCTCTGCTTGGGCAAGGAGGAGCCGGAGGCCCACAGAGATGAGGAGAAGTAGAGGGGGGGGTGGCACTGTGATCTGTAACTCAGGGGAGGGAGAGGAACCCCCAGGGCCATCCTGCGGGGCTCCAGAAGCTTACCTGTCTCCTGGATTTGCGACTTCCCTGACTTCGTAGAAGCCACCACCTTGGCAGTGGCTTGGTTGACCCCCCGAGAGGCGACCTGAAGCTGCCTGAGGTTTGTGCTGTCTTTATCGGCTTTCACCTGCCAACGCAAAGACAACGCTCGGAACCTCCTGTCCAAATTCAACACACGCAATGAGCCCACCACTTTCAAGATGGGAGGGCTCACGGGCGCACCCCTTGGCACTACAACACACACACACACACACACACGGGGCAATGGGCCCACTACTTTCAAGACAGGAGGGCTCACAGGCGCACCCCTTGGCACTACGGGGCCGTAGATCAGCCAAAGGCTTGGCTCGGATTGAGGGAAACGACCCCGGAAAGCCAAGCAGATCAGCAGGTGCCTCTGATGTTGGCTAGGGAACAACGGCTCCTCTAGCCACGCAATCACCCTCCAGGCCAACCGTCACGTGTCCAAGGCAGCCTCTGGAAAACGCTCTCCCCACCTGGGATAGGCCACGGCAGCCCAGGCTCTCCATGGCCAGCCGGCTCCCTGAAAAGGAGGCCCACCTTAGAAGCAGCCACCAGCTGAGCGGTGCTGGCGGCGATTTCGTGCGAGCAGACCATCAGTTCCTCAAACTTCCCTTTGCCCTGGACGACAAGGTCGGCGGCATCTCTGAGGAAAGCAAGACACGGCGGAGAGGTCGGTGCCCGTCCTTCTCGCCCTCGGGGGCAATACCCCCCACCCTGCCCGCTTTGCTGACAGCCACGGGTAGGACCACAGAGGGGCCGCGGCCCTTATTCCCAAGAGAGACACTTACACCATCACCGTGGCTCCCCAGCCCACTGCCTTGGACGCCGAGATCAGACCCTCTGTCCAACGCGAGTTCCTGGCGTAAAACTCCTTGGGGGAGGCGGCTCCCTAAGCAGGAAGAGGGAAGCAATCTCAGCATCCCAAACTGCAGGGACCACCAGCCCCACGGCCACTTTCCAACCTCGCCAACCATTTGATGTTATCAGGACGAGCCTCTTTTGGGGAGGGGGGAAGGGGGTAGCCCAAAAGGCACCGTGACTTTTCAGGCATTTAAAACAAGGAAGCTTATTTCACAGCGACACGTCTCCCGGGATCTCTCGGCTGGAGGAAGAGGAGACATGCCAAAGACAGGGCCGTCCCCATATCAGAAAAGCTGGAGAGTGACCTTAGCCGACCCAGCATCCCCTAAACTGCATTTCTAGGTATTGGAAAGATCAGGATGAGTCCATCTCGGTGGAGAGCCCTGCTGGGCTCCAAAACTGGCCGTCAGCCGGAGCTCCGGGAAGGGAGAAGGCAGTACAGTGGACCCTTGACTTACAGACGGCTTGACTTACAGACTTTTTGAGTTACAGACTTCTCTGTCCGCAAAATTTAGGTTTGACTTGCAGACTGAGATTTGACTTACAGACCAGAAAAAAACCAAAATGGAACAAAAACGGCCTGTTACGGGATTAATCGGTTTTCAATGCACTGTAGGTCAATGGAGACTTGACTTACAGACTTTTTGACTTGAGAACCGCCTTCCAATACGGATTAAGTTCTCAAGTCAAGACCGCACTGTACACCTTTCCGGCAGCCCTGTGTCCTGCCTCCTCCCCCTGGCGGTGGCGTCTGATCCTTCAAGGTGGTGCAATCCACTTGCCAACTCCAATTTGGGGTGTTTTAGGTCTTCTGTTTCTCTCGCCACGGTTCCCCTAAGCCCCGTAGAGCCCAGTCTGAGGAAGGGGCCCTGGTGTCTTGGAAAGCTTGCGTTCCCCACCCTTGCTTTCAGGATTTGTTTAAAGAGTTTTTCTCTTTCACACCCCCCCCAAAATGGACGTGGTTGCTCTCTGGGCATTAAAAGACCCCAACGGACTCACCCTCCCGCTCTCCACGATCTCTCGCTGGAGGTCTTTGGAGGCCAAGACCAGGATCTGGATGGCCTGCATTAAGTCTGTGCAAGAACCCAGGATCCTACGAGAGGCAAAGAGTGGGAGAGAAGAGGACGGGTTTCAAGCCAGCTGGTCAGCGGGCGCTTCCCTTGCAGGGGGAGCGAGGCAGATCAGGAGCAGGACGGAAGGGAGGGAGGGAGGGAGGAGGCTCGGGGACAAGCCAGGGCTTTATTCCATCAGAGAACAAAAAAAAGCGTCACTTTGGGGTAACCGCCAAGCCATGAGAAACGTGGACTCCTTCAGCCAGTGACAGCCTCTTTCCCCCTTAAGACGGGCCATGGGCTCCCCACGACACACACACCGGAGGGAGATCCGGGGCAGGCGCTGGCCGAGTACACCATCCCTTGGGCTTGTTTCTCCTCTCTAGTCCCAAGCCCTCAGAGGAAGAGGAAGGGGCGGGGCAGGGCAGGGCAGGGCACGGTAGGGCGGGCCACCCTTCTGAACTTCACAAGCTTCCTGGGCTTAGTTGCTGGGACAGGACCCTCTGCCTGGCCGTCAATACCAACCTTTCGTTGACCTCCAGTTTGACGCCCGTGTCCCCCGCCCGCGACTTGCTCAGCATCTCCTGGGGGGGGAGAGAGAAGGGGGTCTGAGCTGCAGAAAAGGTGCAGGAAAAAGAGGGAGACCCCCATGCTGTCGCCACCTCCCCATGCACAGATACAGGGAGAGAGCTGAACACTTCCCCCCCCCCAATGCAAAAAGATCAGATTTATTCGGGACAGGACGGGACCGGGGGGGGCGGGCGGCGCAAGACAGGGGCCTGGCTTTGTCTCACCTCAATCCTGGCCACTGCTGTCTCAATGGCCGCGGCTGTGGAGGCCATCTCCTGATCCACCAGGTCCCCCAGTTTCTCTTGCTCAACATCGAGGCCTTTGGGGAGCAGCTCCTGCAACCGAGTTTTGTCTGTGTGAGAGTTTGCCTCCAGGGCTCCCTCTTCTCTTCGGCCTCTCCTGCTTTACAGGAACCTGCTCAGAGGAGGCTCAGGATTGGGGCCCGGGACCACCAACCCCCGTACGGAGGGTTTAGCCACCTCCAGCGCCGGCCCAACCAGCTATCATCCCTGCAGAAGCTCACCTCTCCAATGGCCGTGATCCGTTTGAGGCAGGTCTGGACGGCCGCGCCGTCGGCATCTTCTAAGGAGGCCTTGTCCTTCAGAGCCCCCAGGTAGCTGAGGGCCTCGGTCCCACACTGCCTCCCAGCCTCCAGGAGCCCTGGGAAGAGGCGGGAGAAAGAGAGAAATGAAGCTCAGACCCACGACCCACCCAGACCGGCGCCATCGCCTCCTTCCCCTTCTCCGGAGACCACACTCACGGTCAGCAGACTCCATGGGGGCTGTGTGCGAGGTGGCGCTTGCTTGCACGATAGCGTCGCCCACCAGGTGGGCAAAGAGACCCACGCAGGACAGAAGGCCGCTCACATCTAGGGGCAAAAAAAGACAGTGCTCGAGGTTCTGCAGGCGCCGGACTCACCGTGGCCTTGTGGGAAGCACCAGGCCGGCATGCTGTGGCTAGAAACCACCCGGTGCAGTGGGTCTCTACCCTCACCCCACCCCCAGCCACCGGCTTTGAGCTCCCTGGACAGCGGGGCTGGGAGGCAAAAGGGGCCGAACTGCCGTGGGTTGAAGGCCTCGGGCGCCTTTCACAGCCATGCTCGGCGTGGCACCTTGTGGGTGGCTCCCCGGAAACGCCATTCCAGCCAGAACATCTCATCACCTGACTGGTCGGAGAGGAAGTGCCTGCACGCCTCCTGCAGCTGCTCCGTGCACTCTGAAGCGGCCTGTGTCCTGGACAGGAGGTAATCTGGGCAGAATGCGAAAGAGAGGGAGGGGGACTGCGTCAGGGAGGCCCTCCCGGGAAGGGCAAGACGAAGGGCATCATCACGGCTGCCCAGGATCCTCACGGGCACTTCTTTGCCTCTGCCACTGAAATTTCAGACCCTCTACCCCAGAATCTTGACAGACCCTGGAATCTCTTCTCTCTGAAGCCACTTTACAGGGTTTCCACCCGCAGGGGAGTAAAGGACAGCTGGGGGGGAGAGGCTGATGCTGGCCCGGTGGCACCAGTCCCTATGTGACTCTGGGCTACCAGAATCTTCTGTCGGTTCCCTTCTCGTTTCAAGAATGAGATGCAAGTATTAACTGCATCAAGGACCACTTTATGTAACAAGTACCAAATGTCTAGGCGCTAAACCTATTGATGCTATATATCGCCTAACGACTGAACTGATAAAGTGGAATTAATATGGTTTATTGCCCTACTACTGAAATGACAGTGGACATTTTAATGAAGCCACTTCTCAAAGCCTGCTTTCAGAGGCTATGGAACGAAAGGGGAATGAGGGACACACACTCTATCTCAAAGCCTGCTTTCAGAGGCTATGGAATGAAAGGGGAATGAGGGACACACTGTGGAGAAGAGGCGTTGGGAATATGGGATTGCACCACGACCTTTTCAGACAGAACCGAGAATCCTCCAGGTGGGAGACGTCTGTTGTGTCTAATAGCAGATGGCATAAAAAAGAGCCAAGGGGCACCTCCTCCATGGTCTGCCTCAAAGGGTGGGTGTCGTCTACTGAGAAACACCATCCCCTTGACCTCTGACTCTCTGGATGACCTCTGAGGAGCAGAGAAGGGGACAGACCCGGGGCAGCCGGCTGACCTGCTGAACTCGTGCAGCCGACGTGGGTGGGGTCCTCCAGCCGCTGGACGGCGTCCTGCACCATGTGCTCAGCCTGCCCCACGGCACAGCGCAGGAGGGCCAATGACTTGTCCAGCTGCTGCTGCCGGAGGTCCTGAATCGTGCCGTCCTGAAGAGAGGGAGAGAGAAACGGATCGTGACTTGAGCCACTCTGGGGAGGCTGCCGTTCAAGGAGGTGCCTCCCGCGCCACCCATCACCGCCCCCCTGCTGTCATCAGAACCTGTGCGGCCCCCGTCGGACATGCATCACCGCCCCCCTGCTGTCATCAGAACCCGTCGGACATAACCGGCAGCCTTCTGCTCCTCCGCAGCCAAGATATGCCTGGACCAGAACCCCTGGCTGAGTGAGAAGGGTCCCGATCCGAGGGAGCCGGCCAGACTCTGGGCGTCTACCCCTTCCCACAAGGAGGCAGCAATGGGTCGCCCAGACACCTCTCCCTGACCAGCTAGGCAGCCAGGCAGCCCCCCCCCAGCCCCTGAGCAGAGACTACCTTCTCTCCTAGGTGGCTCTGCAGCTCCTGCGCCACCTGACAGCTGCTCTCAGCGGTGCTCTCAAGCTCCACCTTGAGCTGCTGGACTTCCACCTGCAAGGCCACCACCTGCTGGTCGCGCTGGACTAAGGTCTCGGCGAGGGTGGCCTTCTCCTGCTGCAGACCGGCCAGAAGGGCGCCGTGTTCGGCTTCCGACTAGATGGCGAGATGTGCCGGGGAGGGGAGGAAAGGAGAAAGGGGGTGGGAAGGGAAGGGAGACAAGATGAGGGTTCCCTCTCTGCTTCTCTCCAAAAGGAGAATAATTCCCCAGGAAAGCAGAGACACACACACACCCCGACACACACAATCTCATGTGTCCCGCCGGTCCTGACTTTTGCCCCCACATACGCCTCCTTTCCCTGCCTGGCTCCCGTTTCTGGTGCTGGTCACAGTGAAGGGTACGGCCACCCCACCACCCAGAGTGGGCCCTGCAGGGGAGTCCCTGGGCCCCCACCCACGAACCTGAGCACTAGACTCCACTGTGCTTCGCAGGGTCTGAAGTTCCTGCTTGCTGGCCAGAAGCTCCCTCCTCAAGGACTCCAGGACTTCTGTCTGCTCCTGGTTCTGCAAGGGAACCGACAGCACCCCAGAACATTGGCAAATGCTCTTGCCCCCCCCACCACCTTGCCAGTCGTTCCCTCCTCCCTGCCTGGCCAGGCTCACCTTCCGCTGGGCCTGCTCCGTCAAGCGGTGCAAGGAATCCTTCAGCTCCTTCTGGTCCCGCTCGGCATCTCCCTGGACTTGCCGGGCCACCGTCACCTGCTTGGTCACTTCGGCATTCTGTGGGGGGCAAATCCAGGAAGGTTTAGGAAAGGAATGGGGGGTGGCAGGGGCAAGGTGGGCAGAGCTCTCCCGGGAAGGGGAGGAGAGGGCCTGTGGCAGGGCCGCGGGGGGCTCTCCCTAGAGGAAAACATGTGGGACCAAAAAGCCTCCCTTGCCAACAAAAAGACCTGGGGACACTTGTGGGACCCCCTGCAAAAACCACACTGAGCCAGAGAAGCTCCTCCCACCCCCCACCCGAGTCCTGGAGGAGCTCTTCATTTTTCCTCTTGGCTGCCAGGCAACTGCATCTTGAGCGAGAAAAACAGCTAGGCTTTAGGTGGGAAATCCTGCAAAATGCAAAGGGTGCTGGCCAGCTGTAGGTTTTGATCCAGCGAGACTGACTCAGAAATGGTCCTGAATTCTCTCTCTGTTTCAAACCCACAGTTAGCAACTTCTGACCCTAAACCAGCTCAGGAGGCCCTGGGCTGGAGGAAGGAAGGCGCTCCTGCCTAGACAGCCATACACTTGGTGCGGCACCTTTCCCCACTAGCACAGAGCCAGAGGAAGGAGCTTAAAATCCTTCTGGGACTGAGCCGCGGAGACGCAGCCCCCCCCATACCTTGCGCAGAAGGTCTGCGTGGTTCCGGACCAGCTCGCTGTACTTCTCTTTCAGCTTTGTGTAACGCTGCTCTGTGGCTTGTGCTTTTCCTGGAAACAGAAGGGCAGTGGCTGAAGAGGGCCAAGCACACGTGGGGGCACCGTGTCCCAAAGGGGCAGATCCAGCCCCACCAGCAATGGGGGAAGATCGAGAAAAGGGTCCTCTCTCCTCCCCTCCCACCAACCCCACCAGGCTGTGGGGGTATTGTCCGGCACATCCACTGAATGGCTGCCCTGCCCTTCTCCACCCCTAACTCCGAATCATCTCCTCCCCATCTCCGGGGGTCAACGCACTCTGTGGGGTAGAGAAAGTGACTCTACAAGGG